CTCCCTTTACAGGCGACGGAAAAGAATAACAGAGCGGCTAAAAGAGGTCAATATATCTGAAATGCGCAGGGAGACATTGGTCAGAGAAATAGCAAGCATCGAACTTAAGCTAAAGGAATCTTATAGGAGTCAGGAATCGCGGGAAGAACTAAAAGCCATAAATGAAATCGAAAGAAACCCGAAGTATTTCTTCTATGCCAAATCAAAGTCGAGAGCAACGTCCAGTATTGGGCCCCTACTTAAACAAGATGGGTCCTACACAGATGACAGCAAGGAAATGAGTGAGCTACTCAAGTCCCAATATGACTGAATTTTTAGCAAGCCGCTAACCAGACTGAGAGTCGAAGATCAAAATGAATTTTTTGTGAGAGAGCCACAAAATTTGATTAACACAAGCCTATCCGATGTTATCCTGACGCCAAATGACTTCGAACAGGCAATAAATGACATGCCCATGCACTCTGCCCCAGGGCCAGACTCATGGAACTCCGTGTTCATCAAGAACTGCAAGAAGCCCCTATCACGAGCCTTTTCCATCCTATGGAGAGGGAGCATGGACACGGGGGTCGTCCCACAGTTACTAAAAACAACAGACATAGCCCCACTCCACAAAGGGGGCAGTAAAGCAACAACAAAGAACTACAGACCAATAGCACTAACATCCCATATCATAAAAATCTTTGAAAGGGTCCTAAGAAGCAAGATCACCACCCATCTAGAAACCCATCAGTTACACAACCCAGGGCAACATGGGTTTAGAACAGGCCGCTCCTGTCTGTCTCAACTATTGGATCACTACGACAAGGTCCTAAATGCACTAGAAGACAAAAAGAATGCAGATGTAATATATACAGACTTTGCAAAAGCCTTCGACAAGTGTGACCATGGCATAATAGCACACAAAATGCGTGCTAAAGGAATAACAGGAAAAGTCGGTTGATGGATCTATAATTTCCTCACTAACAGAACACAGAGTAGTCGTCAACAGAGTAAAGTCCGAGGCAGCTACGGTGAAAAGCTCTGTTCCACAAGGCACAGTACTCGCTCCCATCTTGTTCCTCATCCTCATATCCGACATAGACAAGGATGTCAGCCACAGCACCGTGTCTTCCTTTGCAGATGACACCCGAATCTGCATGACAGTGTCTTCCATTGCAGATACTGCAAGGCTCCAGGCGGACATCAACCAAATCTTTCAGTGGGCTGCAGAAAACAATATGAAGTTCAACAATGAGAAATTTCAATTACTCAGATATGGTAAACACGAGAAATTAAATCTTCATCAGAGTACAAAACAAATTCTGGCCACAAAATAGAGCGAAACACCAACGTCAAAGACCTGGGAGTGATCATGTCGGAGGATCTCACCTTCAAGGACCATAACATTGTATCAATCGCATCTGCTAGAAAAATGACAGGATGGATTAATGAGAACTTCAAAATTAGGGAGGCCAGCCCATGATGACACTCTTCAGGTCACTTGTTCTATCTAGGCTGGAATATTGCTGCACACTAACAGCACCTTTCAAGGCAAGTGAAATTGCTGACTAGAAAATGTACAGAGAACCTTCATGCGGCCGCATAACGGAGATAAAACACCTCAATTACTGGGAGCGCTTGAGGTTCCTAAACCTGTATTCCCTGGAAGACAGGCGGGAGAGATACATGATTATATACACCTGGAAAATCCTAGAGGGACTAGTACCGAACTTGCACACGAAAATCACTCACTATGAAAGCAAAAGACTTGGCAGACGATGCAACATCCCCCCAATGAAAAGCAGGGGTGTCACTAGCACGTTAAGAGACCATACAGTAAGTGTCAGGGGCCCGAGACTGTTCAACTGCCTCCCAGCATACATAAGGGGGATTACCAACAGACCCCTGGCAGTCTTCAAGCTGACACTGGACAAGCACCTAAAGTCGGTTCCTGACCAGCCGGGCTGTGGCTCGTATGTTGGTTTGCGTGCAGCCAGCAGCAACAGCCTGGTTGATCAGGCTCTGATCCACCAGGAGGCCTGGTCACAGACCAGATGGCTACGAATTTCTTGGGCAATTATTGATTCCATAAATTTTCCCACTATGGATGTAAGGCTTATTGGTCTATAGTTCGAAGCCAAGGACCTGTCACCTGTCTTGTAAATAGGTATTACATTTGCCATTTTCCACTTATCAGGCACTATGCCAGTTTGTAGTGATATGTTAAAAAGATTAGCCAAAGGTATGATAAGTTCCTCTTTCCATTCCTTTAACACCCTTACAAACAGTTTATCAGGACCTGGGGATTTGTTAGGTTTTAGTTTCTCTCTTTGTCTGAGGGACCATGTCACTAGTTACCGCAATCATGCATAGTTTATTATCATCCTGTTCTACATAATCTATTATTTCAGGAATATCGCTAGTATTTTCCTGGGTGAAAACTGAGAGGAAGTAGGTATTGAGAATTTCACACACATCCTTATCACTGTCAGTGATCTGACCAGAGTTACTCTTAAGTGGGCCAATCTTGTCCCTAATCTTACTTCTGTATACCTGAAAGAACCCTTTTGGGTTAGTCTTTGAATCCCTTGTGACCTTAGCCTCATAATCCCTTTTTGCTTTTCTTATTCCTTTCTTTATTTCTCTTTTTAATTGAATATATTGATTTCTTAACTGCCCATCCCCTCTTTTGATATGCCTATATATGCCTCTCTTTTGACCAGTGAGATGTTTTAATCTATTGTTCATCCATTTGGGATCATTTTTGTTAGATATAATTTCCCTACTCAGAACAAAAGTTGTCTGGGCAGCTAGAACTATGCTCTAAAACACGTCATATTGGCAACCAAGATCACCTACCTGACCCATAGTCAGGACATCACAATTTAGCCCACCTAGGTAATTTTTCAGTCCCATGAAGTCGGCCAAGCGAAAATCTGGGACAGAGATTTGATTGCAGTTATCTGGGTAATTCCATGATACTGTATATTGAAACTAAGTGATTTGTGCACACTTTCCCCAAGCTCATCATTAACCTCATGATTATTAATTAGTGAATCTTTGTTGGCAAGAACCAAGTCAAGCAAATTGTTTCCTCTAGTTGGTTCTGTCATAACTTGTTCTAAAAAGCAATCCTGAACTGTATCAAGAAAGTCACTAGACTCAAGATTTCCTGTCATATTGTTCCAATCATTTTGTCTAAAGTTAAAATCTCCCATTATGACAACTTTTTCATATCTAGATGCCTTATGAATTTCGTCCCATAACAGCTTACTGCACTCCCTATCAAGGTTTGGGGGCCAATAAATCACACCCAAAATTAATTTGTCACGTCCCTCGAGAAACTGTAGCCAAACAGATTCTGTGTTCGATGTTTCTAATATTATCTCATGTCTAAGACAACAATTTAAATTTTCTCTGACATACATCACCACCCCACCACCCTTCCTGTTGACCCTATCAGTGTGGAATAGTTTATAACTCTGTATGTTGCATTCAGAAGGCATTTCTCTATCTTTCAGGTTGAACCAGGTCTATGTTATACCAATAATATCTATATTACCTACACTTGCAAGTAATCTTGGCTCATCTATCTTATTTCTTAGACTCCTACTATTTGTATAGTAAACCTTAAGGAGCTAGTCACTCGTTGCCCTCTACTATCTCTCTTTGTTTGTTGATCAATTGATTTGCCATTACTAACAACTTTATTTTGAATATTGTCTTTGAAATATATCCCTGAGGAATCCCAGTAATAACTGCTGTTTTTAACCCTAATGCTGCAGCCTGATTGTTTCCCACAAACACCCATACCTCTATAATCTATCAGTTTAAATTCCTAAACAAGTCATCAGTTACCCTCTCAATCGAATTGGCTAATGCAATCACTCCATCCCCAGAGAGATAAACCCCATCCCTTGCATACATATCACGTTTGTCAAAGAATAGGTCCCAGCTATCAATGAATGGGATTACAAGTTCCTTGCAGTACCTATCTAGCCAGCAATTTATACCAATTGCCCTAGACATCCATTCATTGCCCACTCCCTTTCTAGGCAAGATGCTACATATGACTGGGATCCTTCCCTTAGACCTAACTACTTCTATGGCTGACCTGTACTTATCCAGCAGCACCTCTCTCCTGCCCTTCCCAATGTCATTACCCGCAGCACTAAGACAGATAATGGGCTTGTTCCCATTACCTGCCATAATATTATCCAACCTGCTGACTGTCACCAACACCAGCTCCTGGAAGGCACACACTCTGTCTGACCTTTCTGTCTCTGTTACAAAATGCACAGTCCATACATCTTACCTGAGAATCACCTACTATTAAAATATTCTTACCTTGATTAACAGGGGAATCAGTGGTACCTTCAACCTCACTAACCACTGAAGTACACTCGTCTTGGAGAACAGAGAATCAATTTCCTACCTTCACATCTTCTCCATGAACTCTCCTCATCTTCCTTCTTCCTGAACTGTGAACCACTTGCCACTTAAAGTGGCTGCCACCGTCACTGCTGGTGACCATTTCCTCCTTACCAGCTAAATCCTTCTCACACTCACTCCCAAACTCATCTATGCGATGCTTCAGCCTCCTGTTTTCCCCCTGAAGTAGAATCTCCTTCTTCAACACTTGAACCTGAGATTCTAAAACACTACAACAAGCCATGGTGCTTGGTAACAGCCCATGCTAACTCCCAAGAGCTTAGGCAGGTATGACCACACATGACCGCTGACCTCATCATACTAATAAATTTTATATTTTTTAAAGTACTATGTGGAGATATTTGAACTTTGGGTAATTATATACCTATTTAAATTTGCAGAGGAAAGGGAAGGAGAGAGATCAGCTCAAGTTTTTTTCCCTGCCTGTTAACATTCTACCAATTAATGTGATTGTTGCCTTATTATATAATTGTTTGAGCCCCTGTATGAATTTAATAATAACTAGTAATAATGTGAATATCTCTAGCAATTTATTTTAGTGGTCTGAATCTTCATCGTTTCTGATTCAGGATTCCATGCACCTACTATGTCATGGCCAGTTGCTGGAAGTCTGATGGTGGAACCAACAGAATCTGAGGACAAGGCAGAACTTGATCGATTTTGTGATGCTATGATCTGTAAGTATGTATGTGCGGTATGGTGTTTTAAAAAAAAACATCATGGTACATGAATAATACCTTGGATTCACCATGTATGATTGGCCATTATCAAGGTTGCAGTAGGCTTGAGGTGAAGTGGTGTGTGTCTACAATGCCACAAGTACAGTAGAGCTCTGTTGGTCACAAGTGGTACAACCTCCTTCCTGCCATTCTTGCTAAGTAGCATTTATTACATTACCTGAACAAAGTTTTCCAAAATTTATGTAAAGTAATTTATGAATGATTAATTTATGTAAAACACTTGTATAAAAAGTTTGAAGAGAATACAGTATTTAGTGTTCATTAATATTAAACAATTCACAGAAGTTCAGTACATATTTTACACTTACACTGTAATTAGACATTCCCATATTCTAGTTGTATTTCTATAATTGTGATGATGCAGTTGTGGACATTCAATAAAACTTGCCTCTTGCTCTCTCAGACTATATGCTCTGGCACTTAATACTTCTCACTGTAACAGTGCCAGCATATCTAGTGTTGTGTCAGGTATAATGAAAAGCAGTTATGTTGCTGCTGCATAATAAGTTGATTTTAAAGCTGCCTAAAATGTTCTGCATAACCAGGGACTTATTATAAAGTATGTCAGTGATGTCTCCTGTTCCTGAACAATTGTAAATAATACTTTGTAGAAATAGTGTATCATTGTGTACAAATACCACCATGCAGTCTAAGATTGCTTAAATAATTTTCCAGAACATTCTTTGAGAAAGCTACCATTTCATGAAATTTATTTCTTTTGCAGTAATTAGAGAGGAGATAAGAGATCTGGAGGAAGGTAAGAGTGACCCAGAATGCAATCCACTCAACATGGCACCTCATCCAATAATTACTGTGACATCTTCCAACTGGAACAGGCCATATACACGAGAACAAGCAGCTTTTCCCGCTGTAAGTCAAATTAGCGGCGAGGGTTTAGTTTGTTGTATTTTAATTCTTATTTCTAGGATTACATTGAGTTGTGAAAAATGCTGATTTAAATAAATTGGTTTATAAATTGGAAATGAAAACTAGAAAACTGTATAATGGAATTAGAATGAACCAAAATGTTATCCATTCTTGATTTGTGAGCTTTGTTCTGATTCGTTTAAATTAAAAAATCCTATACCTTTTTATAGTGAGGCAGCTGTCTTCTTTAGAGCCATGGAATCCATCATAATTTGCATACTCTCTACTTATGGCAGTCAAGCTAAATAATATAAAATTTTGAAAGACGATTGGTACTTCTACCATGCTTTTAATGAATTGTTTGTGTATTGAACCCTTCCTTAAGTATTGTTGCTGTATACTGCATATCTTCGGCTTTTATCCATTCAAATGATTGCTTATCAATGTGCATTGATTATAGGTGCTCCTCTTTGTGATAATGTTTTTAATATTCCTCAGTCTTATTTCCAACTTAAGAGGCCTGATCTGAGACTGGATCAATGGGACCTTTATTACCTTTACCAGCTTGGCCTTTTTTTTTTTTTTTTTTTTTTTTTTTCTCTTCTTCCAGGTGCTCTGTGTGAGGCTTTACAGTGTAGGAGAGGTTGTTTACAAAAGCTTTGAAGAAAACAAAACTCAGCACTCATTGTATGAAACATTTTTGCATTTCAGCCATTTGTGCGACCAGAGACAAAGTGGTGGCCAACAGTCGGTCGCATTGATGATATATATGGTGATCGCAATCTTGTCTGTACCTGTCCTCCAATGGATGTTTACACTTCACCATTTGAAGGTTAAGCATTATAATGATGTACAGTATATCTTTTGTGTATTATTTAATAATATACTTATAAAATGGTCACTTACCATAATATTGTATGTTGAAGGAAATTTTTTTTTTTACTTTAGATTTTACAGATCAAGTATCAATCAAAAACCGAATAATTGTCATAGTTTGAGTTCGTTTCTTAAATTATTAAATTTGGGTCATAGAACCTTAAGGATGTAGTTTTAATATTTTTATTATACAGTTTGAAATATTTAAGCTATTTAATTTCAAATGTTACTACAGTACATTGAATAAAAATGTATTTAAATGTTTTAATAAAGTTTTGTACAAGTATTGGTACAGTTAAGTGTAACATTTCTTAAATTTCAAAATTGACAGCTTCAATCTTATAAACAATGGAATTTAATAAGTGTGGCTCAGTCACTTTAGATACATAATCACATATTGTTTGATGTAATATTATTTAATAGACTAAAAACAATTGCAGTCATATAGTAGTGTATATTTAAGAATGCACCACTGGTAATTAAAGTTTTTGACGGACAGTAGAACCTTTGAGAATTAAGGTACTTTACAGGGGTTGGTGTTTTGCTGCTCTGGAAAAAAAAAAAAAAGTTGTCATCCACTCTTATGTTTTCTTTTAGGTTCATCCTAACACTTCTATGGAAGAAAGCTTAAATTGTAGTAAAAACCAGTCTAATAGTTGATGTTGTGTCGGAATACAGTGACTATATTGATGTCAGGTATGTAGCACAGCTTGCTTCATGATCTGCATGCTCATTTTATTCTCTTGTACAAGACAGAACTGGCTTAGCAGTAGAGTTGTAGATGAGTGGAATGGGTAGGTGAGAGTTGAACCTTTCTAGCATGACCAGCATGCTTACTGCAGTGCTCATGTATTATGTTCTTCAGTACAGGGATTAGTTCTTGGATTTCTGCCTTTCAGAAATATTACCCATGAGTAAATCAATCATCTTTTTGCCAAGAAAACAGTTTGGGCTTAAAACCTCAACCTATACTTATAGTTAATTGATAGAATGTTTATACAGAATAATGCCAAGCCCCTGAGCTTAGGACTTTCTTCCTCCTTGTTGGGAATGCTGCCATGCATGACAATGGAATAAATAATATGCCTATTCAAAATTTTGTTTTATCTTCTGAACACTTTACTAGCAAGAATTATACAGTAAAATATGCTGGAAGATTCAGAAATATATTCCATGTTTTTTTTTTTTTTTATCTTTTAGGCAATATTTCATAACTAAATAGGCATAGCACCCAACATCATTAACAAAGGTCTTGAGCTTGGATGATTTTACTTTTATTATGCCAATGTTTAGATGCTTTCCTTGTTTTTCTGGATTTTTTATTCAGTAGTTTTTGGATATGAAGTAGCTATATTTGTTGAAAGATTTTTTCCCTTTAATGAAGTACAATCTCCTATGGAATCCATAGATGGCTTTTCTGTGATAAAAATAAAACAATTAAGTCCTGCCATATCACTGACAAAACTGTACCTGGTAGTTCAGTTTTGTATTATCTTTAAAGCCAGTATATAGTTTGATCCTTTTTACTATTCTTAAGAGCAAGGAAAAGTTCTGCCTGAGGTTTGGAATCTGGTACAAAGTAGTATCCATCTTGTTTTGATCAGTGGAAGTGGTGTATAAATGTTAATATACTGTACTAGGAAAATGCAGGCATGGTGCACTTTGAGTAGGACACATATGCAGCATTTAGGAAACTGTATTGCTGAAATGATTTTGTGCAGCAGGTTTCTTCAAATAGAGGTGATTGTTATGCTGGAAGAAATGGAAACATAATTTTATGGTGTTCAGGCTCTTAGCTTTTGAGTTGAAAGCTATTCAGTCACTTAACATAAAGTATAACGTAAAGTAGAAGCATGAAAATGAAGACCTGCATATGGAACCAAAGGTGAGGGGACAGCAGTTGGAGATGGCATCACAGAAGGGTGGGGCTCAATTTCTCTCAATCATATTTATCCAAAGTATCATGAAATGCTAGTCCAACTTATAGGCATTACCTACGTCCACTGGTGGGCCCCACCCACCCATGATGCCATCTCCAATTGCTGCCCCTCATCTCTGGCACCAATTAATTCAAGGTTAAAGGACCGAACACCTTAAAATTACATCTCTGCTGCCTCCAGTAGGAAAATCACCTCAGTATTCAACTGAAGAGGCCTGCTGTGCAGGCAAAACATTTTGGCAATTAAGATACCCAAGTGTTATTACACGTCTTATTTATCAGCTTATCAATATTGTATATCATTAATGGTAGATTAAGATAATACAAGGCTAAGAGTGCACTGCTGATAGAAAGGTTATTGTTCAAGGATGAGTGTACAGTCATTGATTGGCACATATTTGTATTGTATATGACTTGTGTACACAGGTTATGAGAGGTGCTGTGGCAAAAAAAAAAAAAAATCATGGGGCTCAAGAGCCTCATAAGAAAGTATGGTAACTTGAGTTTCATAGCCTCAATCTCCTCCACGTCTGTGTTTTTTGGCATAGTTTGAGTTTGGTGCTTATTCTTTTCTGCCACACACCATGTCATATTTTATGTAATTCACAGTTTTAAGTCTAGAAATGGTAGGCACTCTGAGCTCATATACCAAACTTTTGATAAATTAAATAATCATGAGGTGGTTACATATAATTTTTCCAAAGTGTATGTGTGAAGAATTAAGGTCAGGTAATTAAAGAATATCTATATAATGTGAAGATTTCATTTTCAGTACATTGTACAGTTTTCTTAAAGTTAGCTGCAGCTACAGTCTAGATTTGAATAATAGGTTTTTTTATAAAGTTCTAGCAATAAAGTTCAATTTATGATGGCTGTTGTGATGTGATGACTGACACTCTTATATACTGTATTGAAAGTAATCTGGTGTAGGTCATTTTCCCTAATGACAAATTTTCATTGCAAGCTTCATTCTCTGTCAGATATGCCTGTCTGAACAAAGGATAGTACACTTCTCCCTATTCCAACAATATTATCATGGTAGTATCATATATGCACCAGCTGTATGTATACAAATATAAAGAGCATTACTTAAATCACCCAGTTTCTTCTCTGCTCAGCCTTAAAAAAAAAAAAGATTGGTCTTTTCTATTGGCATTATCACTTTGATGAATGTCTTAATGGAATTTTGATATTAATGCCATTAGTGATATAGATAAACCCAAATAATAAATAGTTCAAGGGTTGTGGAAGTATATTGAATATAGATCCAAGATTACTTTACAAGCTTAATTTTAGTATGATGAGGTATCCAATGTTAGGCATTAATCATTCTATCCCAGAGTAGAAAAAAGTGATAGTAATCCCTAGCTGAGGACTCGCTAGTCTAGCTACCTCTACTTTTCTAAATACGTATATGAATTAACATTGATAGAATTACCAACAATATGTAAGGTAAAAGGACACAATTCAATGTCGCATAGTTGCACTTGTGTCCTTTTACCTAACAAATATATGAAATAAGAGAAGCACATAGAAAAAAAGGAGAAAGAAAGTAGATTATTATTATAATAATCAAAAAGAAGCACTAAGCCACAAGGGCTGAAAGAAAGTAGAGAACAGTACATTGAGGTTACCATCGTGATCTGTCACTTTGCACATAAGTACTTAATTTATGGAATATAATACAATTATGAATAATTACTAGTTTGTCAGAAATATATGCATGTGTGATGCTGACTTAAATAAGTGAACAAACTAGGAGGCATTGTGTTTTGTAAAATAAAAAAGCTTTGTTATTCAACTTTTAAAACTGTTACAAACATCAAATTTACATTCATTATCATCACAATGCTGTTGTGACCAATTCTCTTGTTTATAAATCATAATCACTAAGGAAATATATATTATCAAAGTTTAATTTTCATATGCCACAATTCATGCTCATAATTCATTCAGATTCATTGGCAGTAAGTGTCAGCCATTTACATTGTAGGTAAAATGGCACTCATTCCAGAGAACAAGCCCATACTCCTAGGCACAAATCATGTTCATGTGATCCAACATTAGAGGTGGGGAGCAATGTATGGGCAAGTTTCTGTACATCCCTGCTCCAGCACTATAAAAGGTCACTGTCGAGTAGATTTATACAGGGAGGGGAAAAAAAAAAAAGTGCTGGAAACTTCCACTCGTATTGGAATGTTATATCCTATGTAAAAAAAACTCCAGTATCTGCTGGAAGCATTCACTTGAGTGAAAGGTAATGTGCCTAATGCTAATTTAATAAAAACTCTTCCTAATTAATTTCTTTTTTCAATTGTTACATAAGAATACATTTGTACATTGTTTAAAAAAATATTTTAGCATGTTAAAGGTTTTGTTATACAAGAATTTATTGGCTAGGAAGGACTTGTGTTATAATTTATGACTAAAATTGCAAGGGAGTATATTTCTAGGATTAAAAATAAACTTTAAAGTATCTGAAGCAACACATGAAACCAATTGTAGTTACAATACATACAGTATATTTAAGGACTATCATTCTAAATTGCATAATGTAGACAAATCCTCCTTGAATGTGGTCAGTGTGATAGGACTTAGTAGAGGCAAGTGGTTTTTATGATTTGATGTGCTGGAGTGTGTGCAAGATAACATTTATGTAGGGATTTAGGGGCAAGGGTTAGCCAGACGCGAGTCTTGGAGGTGGAAATACAGTGCCTGTACTCTGAAGAAGGGGTGGGGATGGTGTGGTTTGGGAGAGTCATCTGAACTGAGATGGCAGTGCCCTTCTGGCAAAACAGTGATTGAATGGTGGTGAAAGCATTTTCGTTGTCAGGTCACCCTGCCAGAGAACATCCTGGAAGAGGGTGGAGGGGTGTATAAATCTGGGAAAGATCGGTAAAGGATATCACCCACCTTTCCTTTCCTGAGAAGCTATTATGAGCAGTATGGGTGTGGATTGAGACACTTATGCAGCATATGGGAATCTTTATTCAGGAAACGCTTCGCCACACAGTGGCTTCATCAGTCCAATACAAAGAGGAAGGCGTAAGGAGAGGAGGAGTATGAGGTAATCAGTCCCTCAGCCTGGAGTCGATGTGCTCAGTCCATCAATCTTGTAGATTGCTCAGTCCATCAATCTTGTAGATTGATGGACTGAGCACATCGACTCCAGGCTGAGGGACTGATCACCTCATACTCCTCCTCTCCTTACGCCTTCCTCTTTGTATTGGACTGATGAAGCCACTGTGTGGCGAAGCGTTTCCTGAATAAAGATTCCCATATGCTGCATAAGTGTCTCAATCTTCAACTTGTCGGTTTTTCAAACCATTCATCACAGTATGGGTGTGAGCGTCCAAAAGACACGTGACCATGTCAGACTGGAGTGAGTAGACAAATTATTCTTGGGATAAAAGTGCTGTTGGTTTGAGCAAGGTACTTTGAAGAATTTGAAGGTATGAAGCACAGTACCTGCTTTTTAATTAAAGAAGAGGGGGATGTTGCAGTTTGGAGTGTCATTTTGGAATTGTGATGCCAGTGAACTTTTGGCATGATTGATAGTTATTGAATGAAGGTGAAAATGTTTCCCAAGGTGATTTTCACAGGCTGAGGAAAGTATAAGAATTGTTTAAGATTTTATACATAACTATTTAGCACCTAAAGAATTTAATAATACTTATACTCAACTGTATGCAAAATACCAGTAGGACGATCACAGGATATATACACAAGAAGTGTATGCCTCTTGGTATATATATGTGATATATATATATACAAGTTTACTACAATCCCTATTTTAGGGACTAAGGTATTTTTGACTGATGGCAAAGAGGATACAGGCAGACTTAATGTGTAGTCTATAAGATTTAAACCCCACCTCTACAAAGTTTGAATGTATGAATTGTGTCAGTAGTTATTGTCCCAAAGATCAGTTTATGTAGAGTATGGCATCGTGTTTTTTTTTTTTTTTTTAAATAGCAGGGTTATTTCCTGTGAAAGTTTTAGTGTTATGTATACCTATATAGACCCTATTTTCTTTAATTTACAGTGTATATGCAAATATAAAAGCAACAAATCTATGAAAGTTGTTACCCCTGCCTTAAATATTACTGAAAATAGGTAATAATTAACTGGGTAAAACAAAAAAATTACAATAAAATTGAATTACCTTTTAAGAGGCAAATTTCACATCACACAAATGCAAATTTTTTGTTTTTTTTTCACATTTTTAGAACTTAGCTGAAAGCTTAGTGAAGAATGCATATCCAAACAAGCATAATAATATACAGTAGAGCCCCATTTATACAGCAGGTTAGGATCCAGGCTACTGTCAGAAAGCAGACATCACCGGATAGCAGTACGCCATTTATTTCCACTTATAAATGTCAGACAAGTTTACACTAACATATATTAAGTTAGCAATAGAACAAGGCATTAAAAACAAAGTAAAATACATGCACAGTACACTCATTACCTCAAAATATTTGTAGTCTTAATATAGGGTGCAAGGTGAATAGTAGGGTATCAAATAGTGTGGTAGGTATGCAACCCCATCTGGTCACCCCACCCACACATTATATACTAGGAATTTAAAGGGCCCTAGATCGATAAAATGCATATACAGTACAGTCATTATCTTAAAATATTTGTAATCTTAATGTAGGGCGAGAGGCGAGTCAACGAGATTAAACGAATAAAAAGAGAACGAGTACACAAGAGAGGACAGACGCAAGTTTTGTTAACAAGCGAACGTGTATGATTTTAGTTCACTCCTTCGAGCCGACTAGAAAAACATGTCGTATTTATGTTAATCTATTTTACTGTGGGTATATATCATGTTTGTTGTTACGTAGCGTGTTTATTATATACTTTTGAAAAAATATCATAAATGGATTAAGCAAAATGTCTATAGTAATGTTTTATACAACATTTAATGTGCCTCAGTGATCATTATTGTTATTTTTAATATAGCATCAACACTAACAAGACACTCTTAATGATTTTAATGTGTACCTGCATGCGAGTACAGTGTGTAAGTTTACTTAGGTACAGGTACACATAAGTATAATTATCAGAGTACATATAAAATAAGAAATAATCTTTAAAACACTTGAAATTTTGGAAAGTTTCCAAACATAATGGAGACAACCGGTGCTTACGGAGAATGCAAACAAACCAGGTGGCATGCACAGTATTAGAAAGGGGAGCCGTATAGTGTGTTTTGGGCATAATTTGAAATCGCTGTATTAGCGGAATGCCGTAAAGCAGGGCCCTACTGTACTTTACACTGAGGTTAAATACTTTACATATACTGATTAACTTACAAATGAAACAACACACAAAAAGTTTATATATTGATGGAAAGTAGTACTACTTTACCTGCATTAAATATTCAATTTGTGCATTTCTACAATATTTAATATGTTTATTTTTGAGTTATGAAAATTTTTGGACATGTTTACATAGTGGTTCTACCAAGAACAAATACAGCAACTGTTTCTGTAACTACTACATGCTGCTTTTTATTTGTTTTTTTCTTCTGTTAGCCCTAAATTATCTCTGTTTTGGCTTGGCAAGTTTCATTATTCTGCAAATGATGTTGCCAGCATTAATTATGGAATTCTAAAGTTGAAACCATTTTAGACATAGGTATAGCATTCTTTGTTTTTCTGAAAATATTAAGGTCTTATATAAGAGGAGGATAAGATACCCAAGTTTGTAGACAAACCTGATGGTTATCACCCCTAATTACAATATAGGTATCTGTCCTACCACAGTTCACACTAAACTGACTCATCATGACCACTGGAGCAACACCTTCCTCCAGCTTACAAAAGCTGCAGCACTTCTGACAACAGAGCATGCTTTTGGTAGCTTATAGCATGATGAAAGAACCTTTGAATTATGTCTCCAGTGAAAGTTACTGTCAATTTTTTATACTGTTAAAATTATAATTACATTGCAGGTAAAATACTGTTAAACTTAAAAATCTCTGAATTAGTTTTTTTTTTTTTTTTTTTTTTAAGTCGGCCATCTCCCACCGAGGCAGGGTGACCCAAAAAAGAAAGAAAATCCCCAAAAAGAAAATACTTTCATCATTATTCAACACTTTCACCTCACTCACACATAATCACTGTTTTTGCAGAGGTGCTCAGAACACAACAGTTTTCAAGCACATACGTATAAAGATACACAACATATCCCTCCAAACTGCTAATATCCCGTCAATTCCATTGTGCAAACAAAAACATTGCATAAAATGTTAAAACGTATACGAGTAATTTGAAGAAAATTAAGCATGCATAATGAACTGTCAACAAAGAATAAAAAAAACAATGGAAGTTTTACCCGTTGAGCATTATTTTGTACAGTGCAGATAATTTGTTTTTTAAAATTAATAACTAATGCAATAAGTGAAACCTCAATTTAACAGGCAAGTGATGGGAAGGGTAATAGTTAAATCCTAATTTTTTTTTTTTCACGATTTTAAATGATGCTGGAAACGATGTACTTTGTTAAATCCAAAATTAATTCAGACAGCAGACTAACAATAACAGAATACTAGAAACGAAAGATGTCTGTTGTTTCTAGACTCTGGAGAATAGGTTTTGTCAGTGAAATATGAATCCCATTAAAATAAGGTTTCTTAAATTGAGGTTTCACTGTAGCTTACAAAACCATCATCATCACTCTAAAGCCCTTACTTTATTTTCATTCCTGGTTGACAGCCCCACCTTTGACAGACTCCCTCTTTGACCTCTGTGTCAGAAACTGCTTTATTACACCAACTTTGATTATATTTTCTTTAGCACTCCACACCACCCTTTCTAACTACCTGTTATACTCTTCAAACCATACCACGGGCGGGATTTGAACCCGCGGTCAGAGAGTCTCAAAACTCCTGACCGTCGCGTTAGCCACTGGACCAGCTAGCCACAATAAGATTCGTCCAACTAGGTATATTTCTACACCATAGGAAGGTTAGCATAGGCACCACTGTGACCACAAATGCAAGTTTTTACAGACGAATCTCCAGCTAGTGTGCCGTGACGAACTCTAGCTCAGGTCCCCTCACTGCCGTCAACATGACTTGAGCTAGAATTCGTCATGGCCACGCTAGCTGGAGATTCGTCTGTAAAAACTTGCATTTGTGGCCACAGTGGTGCCTATGCTAACCTTCCTATGGTGTAGAAATAGTATACCTAATTGGACGAATCTTATTGTGGCTAGCTGGTCCAGTGGCTAACGCGACAGTCTGGAGTTTTGAGACACTCTGACCGCGGGTTCAAATCCCGCCCGTGATATGGTTTGTTTGCAATTGTGTCATTACGATTTCGTGAGTCATGTTATACTCTTCACCCGTGCTGGTCTCTGATCAGACACATTACACCTTTTAGCACACCATACCCTACAGCGCTGTATGACCCTTGTGGGTTTAGCACTTGGTTATGATAATAATAATAATGTAGCTTATAAACTGTAATGGATATACTAGTGTTCTATTAACTTTTAATGGAACGGCTGTAGATGAATTCTTAAGTTAGTAAGGTAGTTTGTATGACACGAGTTTAGCACTTTTCCCCATCACTACAATAATTAGGTTAAAAAGCCTCCAGTAATGCTACAACTGGTATATACTCTTTCACATTTGAACATCAATATATAGCTACCACTGAAAGTACCTTAATTACATTTTTGGAATATTCTAATATCTACATATACACATCATTACCTAGTAGTTCTTATCTGTCTGTGGATTAGTTTGCACCAGCATGTTTTACCCTAGAGATACTATATTATATATAGCATATATAATATATAGGTATCTTTTATCACTATAAACCCACTGTTTGGAAATATAAACTTTCTGTATCTATAAATACTGAGATCCTGTTCAAAGTAATGATCAAAATTCTGTATTTTTAAAATGAGAGATTTTAGTGATGCAAGTGTGAGCTTTTTAGTTCTTCGAAAGTAAAATATAAGTTTCTCCACATTACCTCTCCACTCGGCTATTAAGCAAAGGTGCTTTAGGCAACTATGTGGTAACTTAATTCTTCTGGGAAAACATTGTCCACAGTAAAGGCAAGTTTTCATTGGACAAAATTTGCTGTACAGTGGACCCTCGCCTAACGATATTAATCCGTTCCTGAGAGCTCAATGTTAGGCGAAATTATCGTTAACCGAATTAATTTTTCCCATAAATAATGGAAATTTACCATATGAAATATTAATTTTAATACACACAAACTGAAGAAGACATGTACAATTACATGACACTTACCTTTATTGAAGATCTGGTGATGATTGATGGGATGGGAGGAGGGGTGTGTGTGGATGGTGTTAATGTTTAGAAGGGGAATCCCCTTCCATTAGGACTTGAGATGTCAAGTCCTTTTCCGGGGTTGCTTCCCTTCTTTTAATGCCACTAGGACCAGCTTGAGTCACCGGACCTCTGTCGCACAACATATCTGTCCATAGAAGCCTGTACCTCCCGTTCCTTTATGACATTCCTAAAGTGTTTCACAACATTGTCAGTGTAATAGTCACCAGCACAGCTTGCAATAGCTGTGTGAGGGTGATTTTCATCAAAAAAGGTTTGCACTTTAAGCCATATTGCACACATTTCCTTTATCTTTGAAGTAGGCAACTTCCTCAATTTCTCTATCCCCTCCTCTGGAGCAGTTTCCTCAGGTCTGGCCTCTTGCTGTTGAAGATGATCTTGCAGCTCATCAGTGGTTAGTTCTTCATTGTCCTCCTCCACCAACTCTTCCACATCCTCCCCACTAACCTCCAACCCCAAGGACTTCCCCAATGCCACAATTGATTCCACAACTGGCATAGGCTTCTCAGGGTTAGCTTCAAATCCTTCAAAATCCCTTTTGTCTACACATTCTGGCCACAGTTTCTTCCAAGCAGAGTTCAAGGTCTTCTTAGTCACTTCCTCCCAAGCCTTGCCTATAATGTTTACACAATTGAGGATGCTAAAGTGATCTCTCCAAAACTCTCTTAGTCAATTGAGTTTCTGTGGTCACTACAAAGCACCTTTCAAACATAGCTTTTGTGTAGAGTTTTTTTGAAGTTTGCAATGACCTGCTGGTCCATGGGCTGCAGGAGAGGAGTGGTATTAGGAGGCAAAAAACTTGACCTTAATGAGGCTCATGTCCCCAGAAAGTCACTGCCACGTCTGAAGAATGACCAGGAGCATTGTCTAATACCAGGAGGCACTTAAGGTCCAATTTATTTTCCAGGAGGTAATTTTTCACAGTGGGGGCAAATGCATGGTGTAACCAGTCATAGAAAAGGTCTCTAGTGACCCATGCCTTACTGTTTGCCCTCCACATCACACACAAATTAGCCTTGAGGACATTGTTTTTCCAGAACACACTGGGAGTTTCAGAGTGATACACCAATAAAGGCTTCACTTTGCAATCACCACTAGCATTAGCACACATCAACAGAGTAAGCCTGTCTTTCATAGGCTTATGTCCTGGGAGTGCCTTTTTCTCCTGAGTAATGTAGGTCCTGCTTGGCATTTTCTTCCAAAACAGGCCTGTTTCGTCACAATTAAACACTTGCTCAGGTTTCAATTCTTCAATGTCTATGTACTCCTTGAATTCCTTCACATATTTTTCAGCTGCTTTTTGGTCTGAACTGGCAGCCTCACCATGCCTTATCACACTATGTATGCCACTACAATTCTTAAATCTCTCAAACCAACCTTTGCTGGCCTTAAATTCACTCGCATCACCATTAGTTGCAGGCGTTTTTCTAATTAAATCGTCATGCAACTTCCTAGCCTTTTCACATATGATCGCTTGAGAGATGCTGTCTCCTGCTATCTGTTTTTCGTTTATTCACACCAATAATAGTCTCTCAACATCTTCTATCACTTGCGATCTTTGTTTCGAAAACGAAGTTGCACCTTTGGCAAGAACAGCTTCCTTGATTGCCATTTTCTTGGCCACAATAGTAGTGATGGTTGATTAGGGTTTTGTGTACAACCTGGCCAGCTCGGAGATGCGCACTCCACTTTCATACTTAGCAATGATCTCTTTCTTCATGTCCATAGTAATTCTCACCCTTTTTGCTGTAGGGTTGGCACTAAAAGCTTTCTTGGGGCCCATGGTGACTTATTTTGCAGGTGCAATCACTAAAAACGCTGTGATAATATGAAATGTTCTGATTGTATGTTTGGATGCGACTGCGGTGGCTGGCTTGTAAACACTGGCACCCACGGGACAAGTGAGGCATGCTCAGGCTGCAAGTGGACGCGTCTCGAGCGGAACGAATCGCGTTGGGAGAGTTTTTTAGCGCTAGCTGAGGCAAAATTTTTGCGTTAAAATGTATCGCTACCCGGATTTAACGTTATGCGATGTGTTCGTTAGGCGAGGGTCCACTGTAATTCGAATGTGCTGTAATATACAATATTCATGATATAAGCTCACTCAACCATCTTGGTCCACCACTGCCATTTTAACAATAAGTCTGCAGGCCAATTCTTGAAGATCTTTCTTGCGTTTATCAGCTACCTCAATGACCTGCAGAAAAAAAAAAATTATGCAAAGAAATAATGCAGAATTTCTCAAAATCTAAGTTAATTAACATTTTATGAGCTAGTTTCTTACCTCCTCGTGGTTGGCAGTGGCATCTGTGTCATACTGCATTATGCACTGATTTGTGATGAGAGAGAATGCAAACACTTTCATTCCACAATGTCTTGCTACCACAACCTTAAAAAAAACAGGATAAATACAATGAGTTTTTTTCAGGAACTCGTATAAAGATGTTAATGCTTTTGTGCACAATTTCACAATAATGTAAGGAAAAAGGCAACACAAATATTTGTCTATCAGTACCTGATGTATTGTTTTGTAACGAGTTTTTCTTCATACTCTCTGACCCTAAATATTTTAAGATGTTTTCACCCCCTAATGGAGATGCCAAAGAGGGGCTTTAGATCCAGGTAAATGGACCCATCTTCCCTTTCCTTGGATTGAACCTTAGTGCCTACCATTCTCTATGTGCTGTATGCTTTTAGTGCTTCCCCCTGATTATAATAATTTAGATACTCCATGTGTTGGAGTAGGAAGAAAACCATTTGATAAAGTTCAATGTACTCTAATTGTCTAGGTTACAATAACAATAGTAGACACTTTCATACACAAAGCCAATAATGTGGAGAAATAATGGATTTTCTAGGTCGGCATACTATAATTAAACCTTTTTCATGTTATCCTGTCCTAGCAAAGAGAGTGGAAATGAAATCCACTCCAACTGGTGGGCATTTTTTCTAAAATCCTAAATTAAGCTACAGAGATAGAATATTTCACTTTTCTTTTTACTATTTTGCACTGCAGTATAATATTACTGGCGAGTCAGAAAAAAATTGAAGAAAAATGTTAAAAGAATTCATAATTATGTATTTTTGTGACCTAGGGGTTTGGCTGCTATTGTACTTTGCTATTAGGCTGAAATTGTGGCATAAGGAGACAAGGGATACACATACAAAATTGCATTCCTTCTGACTTTATCACAGCTGAGGAGTCTTACACAAATATGATGTTGGCAGCTGCACAAACATGCTTACTGCCAACTCCTCGTATTCTAGAGTAACCAGCAATGTAATCCAGAAATCCTTGGTTCATGCACGTTTTGAAAGCTGCTTTTAAGTACATGTCAGCCATCTCTAATCTGGCAATCAGTAATCTGGTTCCATCAGTTATCTGGCACTAATTTTAGCTAGCATAATTTCAAATTTCTGGGGTTGCCACACCACCCTGCTGTTACTGTTTGGTATACCTGGAGAGGGTTTTGGGGGTCAATGCGCCCACGGCTTGGTCTGAGACCAGGCCTCTTGGTGGATTAGGGTCTTATCAACCAGGCTGTTACTGCTGGCTGCATGAATACTGACGTGGCGCTACTTGCTGCACAAGTCATTCCAATTTCTTTTTTTCCATTTATTGTTATAACCTACTCACTTTTAGCCCTAGCCATGGTTTCAACGAATAAAGAAATGCTTCTCATTGTGTAAAGCACATACACCATACATTGTCCATAAAAGATAAGGTGGCTTTGAAGACACTGTCGGTTGCTATGATCTCAGCTTACTCAGATAAGCTGTGGCTGGTAAATTTGGGCCTACATATGAGAGAATAGGTCTGTGTGGCAAGTGTGCACTATATAAAAAAAAATCCTGCAGCACGCAGTGCATAAGGAGAAAAAACTGCGAACGTGTTTTTGATGTAAAAGCAGTGACTTTGTGGTGTATTTTTGTATGGTTTTATGGTTGTATTCTCGTTTTTTTTTTTTTTTTTTTTGGCCTCATTTGATAGGATAGAAGATATATTACAGAAATAGATATGATTTTGATTGGTTTCACGATGGAAAGTACCTTGAAATTGAGCTCAAAGTAGCAGAAATATTCGATTTTTCCAATGTTCAAGAGTAAACAAATGATGTCACCATCCAATACATGTCCAACTGGCCAGTTTAATATGCAGTCACAAATGGGTTGACATTATTTATACATATCAATAATGCAGTAGTCTGCCTAACAGTAAATCTATTTTTTGTGTGAATAAAAATTCAAAATGGAAAGCAAGCATAATATAAGAGGGGCCTGGAGATGTGACTAATGAACAGAGAAAATGTTATTTTAGTGCCTGGAATGTCTGCATTGTTTATTCTGGACCCTGTTTTGAAATTTGTGTGAAATTGGACAAGTTACCGATTTCTGACTACCTTATGGGTTTATGAAATAGGTAAATGGGTGGTTTCTTGTACTCAGTTGACAGAATAGCAGGAATACTAACGAAATAGCCGAGTATGGTATACTGGAAAAATGGAATGGGCCAAAAATAGAGCGTAAAGTGCGTGAAATCACTGATGCGTAAATATGTATTGCCATTAGGTTCAGTGTATTCTAACCTAACCACTAATTCGGCAGAATCACTAATCCGGCACCCTACAGGTCCCAATGATGCCGGATTAGTGATGGTCAACCTGTACATGTATTTGAAACTTCAACATCATCAGAACAGTCAACAATCCCATCACCAGCATATGGACATGGACCCGCAATGGAGTTCATGTGATCACTATTACACTTGGTAATACAATCTGAAGATTTCTTGTATCAAAATACGGTCACTGATAACCAAGTGAGATACTTGCATTTCTTTTTCTGCTACCTGCACCACATGTTCCCAACCACATTCTGTCATCAATAGTTGGGATAGACTTTTTTTTTTTTTGGTGGCTCTTCACTTGTGCACCTTTCATTTGAATCTTTATTTTTCCCTGGTATCATGATAATATCCCCATATTCACACATTTGTCTTCATCCTAATGTTGAATTTGTTTAAATTATGGATAATTTTTTTGTAATTGTTTAAAGGAATATTTTTTGTTAATACGGGGGGAAGTAAACTCAGAGGGGGTCATACAGTGCCTAGGCAACAAACACACAAGGCCATGTAAGACAACTTTGCTAGCCAGATATTATCCTGACACTTAACCTAACCATGTGATTTAATTCCTCTGTGAAGTAAACATACAACTATTCTTTAAGTGCAAGCATTCTGTTTAGAACCTTTTGATGGGATAGCCATCACAATTCAATATGCAAGAGCATTTTGATAAAATTTACTTCCATATCTTTGCACAACTCACTGCATAACCATATTGTGTGATTTATTTTTCATTAGCTTGAATACAGTTCACCATCTTCAGCTGCTTCTCGACAAGGTTGTCAAAATAATTTTTCACTGGTTCCAGTCTTGCTCAGGTGTTTAGCAACAAGGGTCTCTCTATGAATAACAGTGAGTGACCCTACACCATCTTTTAATTTCTATGCTCCAAATTCTCTACACAAGATCCACACCGCACTTTGCTCTTAACCCTTTGAGGGTCGACAGGCCCTCTCCGAAACTCGTTCTCAGGGTCGGCCAAATTTAAAAAAAAAAAAAAATTATTTTCTCTTATGAAAAGATAGAGAATCTTTTCCCGATCATAAAGACACCAAAAGTTTGAAATTTGATAGAAAACTTACGGAATTATGCTCTCGCAAAGTTAGCGGTCTCGGCGATGTTTATGCATCGGCGATTTTGCCCACTTTGAGCCCCATTTTCGGCCAATTTCACTGTACTAGTCGACAAAAAACATGAATATTTCGCTAGAACTCCATTTTTTCTATCGAATGGGTGCAAGAAACCACCCATTTATGAAATTCAACTATCCAGTACAGTGGTCAGAATTTAGCAATTTTGCCAATTTCACACAAAATTCAAAAGATGCCAATTTCCGAATAGGGTCCAGAATAAACAAGAAAGACATTCCTGGCACTAAAATGACATTTCCTCTAGTCATTAGTCACGTCTCAAGGCCCCTCTTATATTCTTTTGCTTTCCCACTTTGAATTTTTATTCTCACAAAAAATATAAGATTTACTGTTATGCAGACTACTGCATTAGTGTAAAAAATGGTATAAATATTATTTGTGCACTTGTGAAAAAATATTAGACTCACCAGTTGACGTGTATTGCATGCTTGGCACGATTTGTTTACTTTTGAAGTTTGGTAAAAATCGAACATTTCTGCTACTTTGAGCTCAATTTCAAGGCACCTTTCATTGTAAAACCAGTCAAAATCATCTCAATTTCTGTAATATGTCTTCCATTCTATAAAATGAGACCAAGAAAACTAGAATACAACAATAAATACCATACGAAAATATACTGCAAAGTCGCTGATTTATTCCAAAAAAATGGTCAAAGTTTTTTTTTTCTCATTATGCACTGTGTGCTGCAGGATTTTTTTTAGACTGTGCACACTGACCACATAGACCCATTCTTTCATATGAAGGCCTACCAGCTTTCTCCCACTAGATTTGAGGCCGCTAGAATTTATGCGTACTAGTACGTCAAAAACCCCTACGCGTAAGACGTACTAGTACGACCAAAACCCTCAAAGGGTTAAACATGATATCTTTATCACTTCTAGCTGCCTCATCGCCACAACATTCAAAACTCACGTTTTACACCCTTCTTTCAACACACCAGCCATATCCCAGAGAGGTGGGGTGGCCGAAAAGGAAAAACGAAAGTTTCTCCTTTTACATTTAGTAATACAGGTCGGCCATCACTAATCCGGCAATCAGTTCTCTGGTTCCATCAGTAATCCGACACTAATTTCGGCTAGCAAAATTTCAAATTTCATCATTATACTGACTCAGAAATTGTGCAGGTGGTTGTAAATCCACAGCAGCAAGCTAGTGGAGGAGAAAGCAGTGATGAAAATGAGGAAGATGTAGTAGAAAGTCTCTCTATTGATAGGTTAATTAAAAGTTTTCTAACCTAACCATTCTGTAATCCGGTAAGCTCACTAATACGGCACACTGCAGGTCCCAGTGATGCCAGATTAGTGATGGCCAACCTGTATATACAGGAGGGGTTACTAACCCCTTGCTCTTGGCATTTTAGTCGCCTCTTATGACAAGAATGGCTTGAGGAAGAAGAATTCTGTTTCATTTCCCCATGGAGATAAGAGGAAATAAGAACAAGAACTAGTAAGAAAATGTGTGTGGTGTGACCTAAGTGTAAGTAGAAGTAACAAGACATACCTGAAATCTTGCATGTTGAGAGAGAAAAAAGACATCAGCAATCCTACCATCACGTAAAACAATTACAGGCTTTCGTTTTACACTAACTTGGCAGGACGGTAGTACCTCCCTGGGCGGTTGCTGTCTACCAACCTACCTAGGGCTTTGAACACGCATGAAGCAATGACTGTCTTGCTGAAGGCCGTGTCAAATGTTATTACTTCATAACATACACTAGAGTCAAGTACTAACCTCAGGAACGTGCTCATCCCAACAGCATCCACTCCTACAACCCTCAGAAGTTTCAGCTCAGCTACAGTCTCATAGGTGGGTCCACCAAGCATGACGTAAACGCCTTCTTGAACAACATCTGATAGATTCATATCGGCAACAATCTTTTTCGCCATGTCACGAAGATTCTTGTCATATGCGTTGTTCATGGCAGGGAAACGAGGGCCAAACCGTTCATCATTCCTGCCTCTTAGTGGAGAGTCACCAGCAAATCCCTGAAAGATAAAAAGAAATTGAAACAAGTTGCATCGAATGGATGCCCAATTCTTACCAAACAGAAGAGTGTAGCATTCTGAATGCTAATCAAATATTTATGGACATAATCAATAGTTAAGTCTTTTTAATTGGACGTTTACTTTTCAATTTGAAAGTTACAGCTCTCTTAGAACATGCAACCCTCCTTCAAGAATATGCTGAAATGAAAGACAACTTCCACAATATAGCAATATGACATTTTGTATAAATTGAACATATACTGTGGCAATATATAAAGTTTTGTAATGTTCCATAATTTGATCCTGCCTGAAGCTGAGTTATCTTTCCATTGTGGAGATTCCTTAGATTTATTTTATGTACAAAGCTTTAGAATGGTTCAGTTATTCAACACTTAACAACACACTGTTTTTTAACATTATCAACACACAATATCAGTATCAACTTGCTACTGTCATGAAGAATCTACTCTCATTATATTAATTATAATCGCAAGTACTGTATTTTTCATATTCTGCAATCCACAGCTATGTCACTGGCTGTTAAGTGTCACATCAGCAGTTTAGATCAAAGGGGGAATATCCACACTATTTTTGCTTAGAGAGATTCTGGGTACCTAGGCAAGCATCCTGTGGGAAGAGTGGCACCCCTCCCAGAGAAGAGGCTCCTACCCCATAGACAAACTACTCAAACCCCACCACCACATTAAGGTGACCCATTTAGTGGAGGGGGTATTCTTATCCAAACACTGATAATATTTCCTGAATGCTGAAACATAAGAGTAAAGGAGGAATGAGAGGGGGAGGCTCACTGATCACAACTCTTTACTAACCTGCATATTGATGTGATCCTTAATAATCATGATATCACCAACTTTGAAACCTGGGTTGAGGCCTCCAGCTGCATTAGTGACGATGATCTGCTCCACACCCATCAGCTTCATCACTCGCACTGGCATGGCACACTGAAAAAAGTTAATTAGCAAGTTTTTGTTATGAAAATCTACTGTAAAAAATTTATGTAGTGCCTGAACTGAAGGAAATGCAAAAAACAGGCCTTACGTTATTGTGAGTGAAGAACAATGAGGGGATATGATTCTTCTTTCTTTCAACACACCGGCCGTATCCCACCGAGGTGGGGTGGCCCAAAAGGAAAAACAAAAGTTTCTCCTTTTACATTTAGTAATATATACAGGAGGAGGAGTTACTAGCCCCTTGCTCCCGGCATTTCAGTCGCCTCTTACAACACGCATGGCTTGCAGAGGAAGAATTCTATTCCACTTCCCCATGGAGGTAAGAGAACTAGAAAGAAAATAAGAGGAAAACCCAGAGGGTGTGTGTATACATATGCTTGTACATGTATGTGTAGTGTGACCGAAGTGCAAGTAGAAGTAGCAAGACGTACCTGAAATCTTGCATGTTCATGAGACAGAAAAAGGACACCAGCAATCCTACCATCATGTAAAACAATTACAGGCTTTCGTTTTACACTCACTTGGCAGGACGGTAGTACCTCCCTGGGCGGTTGCTGTCTACCAACCTACTACCTATGTTGGGCACTAATTATCCTTACAATATTTTATTTCAGAAATACATTTGCTTTGTCTTTGCTTGTACAGTGGACCCCCGCATAACGATTACCTCCGAATGCGACCAATTATGTAAGTGCGTTTGTACGTGTATGTTTGGGGGTCTGAAATGGACTAATCTACTTCACAATATTTCTTATGGGAACAAATTCAGGTCAGTACTGGCACCTGAACATACTTCTGGAGTAAAAAAATATCGTTAACCGGGGGTCCACTGTATATAATTAAACAATCTAAGTGATGATGAAATGGTTGTTACATTTCTGGATAAAACATACATTAAAAAAAGATATAAAAAATAATAAGTTATAAACATCCAACAAGAAAACTGAGTGATAGAGTGCAGTCAAATCCTGTTAATTATCTGCCAAAGAATACTTCAAGATGAAAAAGCCGTAACTTTCTCTTTTAGCCAAACCCATAAAAAAAAAAATTATTTATGCAAGACTAATCTGAAGCATTACATTATTTTATTTGGAAAAGATATGCAAGAATTGGCAAGTACCTTATCAATGTTTCTAGAATTATTGTTGAGTATTTACCTTCCAGAGAGGATAACCTTCGTAAGCATGGAAGCGTCCCTGCATACACATTACTGGAACACCAGAGAGCAGTCCTATTACCATCCTCCCTGCATGCCCAACAACAGTTGACACAGGGAAGTTGGGTATGCTCTCGTAAGGGAACACGTCTCTCTCATCCAGTTGGTCTGCCAGTCCACCTAAGGATAGCAATGTTTTCCTAAAATTAGTAGTTTATAAGCCATGTTCTGTACATAAAACCATATAATGTACTGTATACATTAATGTTGGTACAGAAGCAGCTTATGTACTCAGTCGTCATATACATGCTACAGTATTGTACATAGTTGTATTATTTGTAGGTGCAAGTGTCCCTTCAAATAGGGTGCCATGGGGTTACAATGAAGGACTCTTTGTTTCAAACAATTGGAAGTCTCCTGCCCTGTCTTGAATCAAACTTTGTTACTTCCATTCCAGAGGTGTTGTATTACCCCAATGGTTTAGCACTTCTCTGCAAATACTGCATAATACTGAATAATACTTTTACAGTATGTTTGAAAAAATAACCTAAATAGAAGTTTTATGCCCAGCACAGCTGTATAGCCCTTGTGGCTTAGCGCTTCTTTTTGATTATAATAATAATAATATGCCCAGCACATTTTAAGAGACCCCCTGTCTAGGTTTGTAGTATATATGTAATCAAAATACTGTGATTTCCTAACTCAAACTGGCAAACCTTTGATAAACTACTTATGCTACCTTTTACATTAATTTCAATATACGTACATGCATATATTTTCACATTCAAACTACTTAAGCATTTATGATGGTAAGTAGTTCATAATCCTATCTTTTTTTTTTTTTTTTTTCAACAAGTCGGTCGTCTCCCAAATAATCCAGTAGAGTACAGTGCATTAGTATTTTTGCTCGACAAGATATGGATACTGTGGCTACATATCTCAGATTGATGCCTCCACCAATCTTTGCGCTGAATGACCCAAATGGGATTCAAGCCTCAAGATAAAATATAAATATCCTGGAGGTACTGTGTGCCACTGTAAGCTTTTGACTACTGCCCACAGGATGGGTATGGGGTCACTACTGTCCACAGGATGGTTACGGCATGATTAATATCCATATGATAGGTATAGGGTCATGACCACCCACTGTATGAATATGGGGTCACTACCATCCATAGGATGAACATGAAGTCATACCACCTACAGGATGGGTATCATGCTTTATTTCCAGTGGGGTGCTTTAGTCCTCTACACAAGCTGCAATCCACAACAGTCAACTATCATCCAGGTACCTACCTACTTACTGCTAGGTAAACACATGCAGCAGGTGCAAGGAAACATGCGCCATGTTTCATGCATACTGGAGAGCGATCCCCAGTCCTTCAAAATGAATAAATGTCAAGTTTTTGTGACTGCCATAGGCAACAGCAAGTTTATTGAGGTGCAGTTTTTACACATTTTTTGAATGACTGGAAATGTCTTATTCACTTAACTCACCGAGACCCGAGCCGCAGATAACTCCAATCTTAGGTCTATGTCGTGTCCCAGAGAGCAGGTATTCAGCACTCTCCTGGATAACCTCATAAGGATATCTGCAAAATGAACCTCATGTTAATTAAAACCAAAACCTGACAAAAGACACCAGCAGTAAAGGGGGCACAGTTTGAAGCACATACCATGGAAAAGTGAAGAACAGATAATGTAAAGAGGAAAAAAAAGAGAAGAGATATTTCAAATTAAATAATGAATGAAGGAATTGAAGTATCATTCTCAGTCTCTCTCATATGCAATTTTCCCACCCGGATATCAGATCCTGAGGAAGGATAGAAGGACCAAAGGGGGAGGAGGGGTTGCACTACTAATTAAAAAGTGGTGGGGTTATCAAGAGATGGAAGGAATGGACGAGATTGGAGAAAGGGACTACATAGTAGGTACAGTTCAGTCAGGGGAACAAAAGGTAGTCATTGCAGTGATGTATAACCCACCACAGAACTGCAGGAGGCCAAGAGAGGAATATGATGAGTGCAACAGAGCAATGGTGAACACACTAGCTGAGGTGGCAAGAAGGGCTCACTCAAGTAGAGCGAAGTTACTGGTTATGGGCGACTTTAGCCACAGGGAGATTGATTGGGAAAACCTGGAGCCACATGGGGGTCCCAAAACATGGAGAGCCAAGATGATGGATGTGGTACTGGAAAACCTCATGCACCAACATGTTAGGGACACTACCAGAGAGAGAGAGGGAAGGATGAACCAGCAAGACTGGACCTTGTGTTCACCCTGAGTAGCTCAGACATTGAGGACATCACAAATGAAAGGCCCCTTGGAGCTAGTGACCATGTGGTTCTGGGCTTTGAATACATCATAGAGCTACAAATGGAGAGGGTAACAGGAGTAGAAAGGGAAAAGCCAAACTATAAAAGGGGAGACTACACAAGTATGAGGACCTTCCTGTAAGAGGTTCAGTGGTAAAGAGAGTTGTTAGGAAAGTCAGTAAATGAAATGATGGACTACATAAAATGCAAGGAGGCAGAGGAAAGGTTTGTTTCCCAAGCGTAACAGAAATAATGGTAAGAACATAATGAGCCCTTTGTTTACCCGAAGGTGCAGAGAGGCAAAAACTAAGTGCTCTTGAGAATGGAAAAAGTACTGAAGGCAAAGGACTCGGAAAATAGAGATTAGTCGACGAGCCAGAAATGAGTATGCACAGATAAGGAGGGAGGCCCAGTGGCAGTACGAAAATGACATAGCATCGAAAGTCAAGTCTGACCTGAATCTACTTTACAGCCACATCAGGAGGAAGACAACAGTCAAGGACCAGGTAATCAGGCTGAGGAAAGAAGGTGGGGAGCTCACAAGAAATGACCAAGAAGTATGTGAGGAGCTCAAAATGAGATTTCAGGAAGTATTTACAGTGGAGGCTGAAGGGACACTGGGAAGACAAAACAAGTGGGGTACACCAACAAAGGATATACCAACAAGTGTTCGATGAATTACACACAACTGAGGAGGTGGTGAAGAAGCTCCTAAGTGACCTCGATACCTCAAAGGCAGTGGGACCAGACAACATCTATCTGTGGGTCCTTAGAGAGGGAGCAGAGACACTGTGTGCCACTAACCACAATCTTCAACACATCCCTTGAAACTGGGCAACTACCTGAGGTACGGAAGATGGCAAATATAGTCCCCATCTTTAAGAAAGGAGACAGAAATGAGGCACTAAACTACAAACCAGTGTCAATAATGTCTATAGTATGCAAAGTCATGGAGAAGATTATCAGGAGGAGTGTGGTGGAGCATCTGGAGTGGATTCATGGAAGGCAAATCCTGTGTCACAAACCTACTAGAGTTTAATGGCAAGGTACCTTAAGTAAGAAATGAGAGGGAGGGGTGGGTTGATTGCATTTTCTTGGACTGCAAGAAGGCCTTCGACACGGTTCCTCACAAGAGATTAATACAGAAGCTAGAGGATCAGGCACATAACAGGAAGGGCACTGCAATGGATCAGAGAATACATAACAGGGAGGCAACAGTGAGTCATGGTCTATGATGAGGTATCACAGTGGGCGCCTGTGACGAGCGGGTCCCACAGGGGTCAGTCCTGGGACCAGTGATATTCTTGGTATATGTGAATGACATGATGGAAGGGATAGACTCAGAAGTGTCCCCGTTTGCAGATGATGTGAAGTTAATGAGGAGAATTAAATCAGATGCAGACCAGACAGGCTGGATGTATGGTCCAGCAACTGGCTCCTAGAATTCAACCCTGCCAAATGTAAAGTCATGAAGATCGAGGAAGGGCAAAGAAGACCGCAGACAGAGTATAGGTTAGGTGGCCAAAAACTGCAAACCTCACTCAGGAGAAAGATCTGGGGGCGAGTATAACACCGAGCACATCGCCAAATAACTGCTGTGGCACATGGGCGCCTGGCAAACCTGAGAATAGCGTTCCAGTACCTCTGTAAGGAATCGTTCAAGACTTTATACACTTTGTACGTCAGGCCCATACTGGAGTATGCAGCACCTGTTTGGAGCCCACACCTGGTCAAACACGTCAAGAAATTAGAGAAAGTGCAAAGGTTTGCAACAAGGCTAGTTCCAGAGCTAAGGAGAATGTTCTATGAAGAAAGGTTAAGGGAAATCGGTCTGACGACACTGGAGGACAGGAGGGTCAAGGGAGACATGATAACGACATACAAAATACTGCATGGAATAGACAAGGTGGACAGAGACAGGATGTTCCAGAGATGGGACACAGAAACAAGGGGTCACAATTGGAAGCTGAAGACTAAGATGAGTCAGAGGGATGTTAGGAAGTATTTCTTCAGCATATAGTAGTTAGGAAGTGGAATAGTCTGGCAAGCGATGTAGTGGAGGCAGGAACTATACATAGTCTTAAGACGAGGTATGGTAAAACTCATGGAGCAGGGAGAGGGAGGACCTAGCAGCGGTCAGTGAAGAGGCAGGGCCAGGAGCTGAGTCTTGACCGCTGCAACCATAATTAGGCGAGTACACACACACATACACTAGAAACTAGAGAAAGTGCAAAGGTTTGCAACAAGACTAGTCCCAGAGCTAAGAGGTATGTCCTACGAGGAGAGGTTAAGGGAAATCAACCTGACGACACTGGAGGACAGGAGAGATAGGGGGGACATGATAACGACATACAAAATACTGAGAGGAATTGACAAAGTGGAAAAAGACAGGATGTTCCAGAGATTGGACACAGTAACAAGGGGACACAGTTGGAAGTTGAAGACTCAGATGAATCACAGGGATGTTAGGAAGTATTTCTTCAGCCACAGAGTAGTCAGTAAGTGGAATAGTTTGGGAAGCGATGTCGTGGAGGCAGGATCCATGCATAGCTTTAAGCAGAGGTATGATAAAGCTCACAGTTCAGGGAGAGTGACCTAGTAGCGATCAGTGAAGAGGCGGGGCCAGGAGCTCGGACTCGACCGCTGCAACCTCAATTAGGCGAGTACAACTAGGTGAGTACACACACACACACACACACACGTGCTAGGGAATGGAAGAAGTATAGAAGGCAAAGGACCCAGGAGAATAAGGAGAGCAGTTGTAGAGCCAGAAATGACTATGCACAGGTAAGAAGGGAGGCCCAACAACAATATGAAAATGACAGCAGCGAAAGCCAAATATGATCCAAAGCTGTTTTACAGCCACATCAGGAGGAAGACAACAGTCAAGGACCAGGTAATCAGGCTAAGGAAGGAGGAGAGATCACAAGAAACGACCGCAAAGTATGTGAGGAACTCAACATGAGATTCATAGAAGTGTTCACAGAGGAGACAAGGGTCTCCAGAAAGACAGAGGTGGGGTACACCACCAAGTGTTGGACACTATACATACAACCGAGGAAGAAGTGAAGAGGCTTCTGAGCGAGCTAGACACCTCAAAGGCGATGGGGACGGATAACATCTCTCCATGGGTCCTGAAAGAGGGTGCAGAGGCGCTACGTGCACCCCTGACAATCATATTCAACACATCTATCGAAACAGGGAGATTACCCGAGGCATGGAAGATGGCAAATGTAGTCCCAATTTTTAAAAAAGGAGACAGACAAGAAGCACTAAACTATAGACCAGTGTCACTGACATGTATAGTATGCAAAGTCATGGAGAAGATTATCAGGAGAAGAGTGGTGGAATACCAAGAAAGAAATGAGCTTATCAACAACAGCCAACATGGTTTCAGGAACAGGAAATCCTGTGTCACAGACCTACTGGAGTTCTATGACAGGGTGACAGCAGTAAGACAAGAGAGAGAGAGGGGTGGGTAGATTGCATTTTCTTGGACTGTAAGAAGGCATTTGACACAGTTCCACACAAGAGACTAGTGCAAAAACTGGATTACCAGGCAGGGATAACAGGGAAGGCACTATACTGGATCAGGGAATACCTGTCAGGAAGACAGCAGCGAGTCATGGTACGTGGCGAGGTGTCAGAGTGGGCGCCTGTGACGAGTGGGGTTCCACAGGGGTCAGTCCTAGGACCGGTGCTGTTTCTGGTATGTGTGAACGACATGACGGAAGGAATAGACTCCAACGTATCCCTGTTTGCAGATGATGTGAAGTTGATGAGAAATTCAATCGGACGAGAACCAGGCAGAACTACAAAGGGAGTTGGACAGACTGCAGGCCTGGTCCAGCAATTGGCTCCTGGAGTTCAACCCCACCAAGTGCAAAGTCATGAAGAGTGGGGAAGGGCAAAGAAGACTGCAGACGGAGTACAGTCTAGGTGGTCAGAGACTAGAAACCTCACTCAAGGAAAAAGATCTTGTGGTGAGTATAACACCAGGCACATCTGAGGCACACATCAACCAAATAACTGCTGCAGCATATGGTCGCCAAGCAAACCTAAGAACACCATTCTGCCATCTTAATAAGGAATCGTTCAGGACCCTGTACACCGTGTACGTTAGACCCATATTGGAGTATGCAGCACCAGTTTGGAACCCACACCTAGCCAAGCACGTAAAGAAACTAGAAAAAGTGCAAAGGTTTGCAATAAGACTAGTCCCAGAGCTAAGGGGTATGTCCTACGAGGAGAGGTTAAGGGAAATCGACCTGACGACA